GGAAGTGGCCAAAAACCCTCTAAAACCAGGCTGGTCATCCAGCTAAAACCAGTCAAGCAGCCTATGCTGGTTTAAGCTGGATTTTTCAGCAGGGACTACAGCATTTATTAAAGTTTATCAGTGAATATCATTAACACATTGTTGTAAATAATAGTAAAATATACAGTATAAATGCACTTTATCATGGTGTGGTTCAAAAGCACTATATTATTTACGGTAACTTACAGAACTTACAAATTATTAAAGATTATCAAAACTTTTTAGTGGATTAACCTCCAGATGAATTGATTAGCTGAAGAGTAACGATGTGCACTTGCAAAGTAAACACTGTTCGTTTAAATTACTCTCGTTCCTGAAGCTCCTCTGCAGTGCTTGTGTCTGCTGTGTTTCAGAAGAACATGCTGGACTTTGTGTTTGCGGTGGACGATCCCGTGACGTGGCACACCATGAACCTGATAGAGAACAGGAAGCACTACTCCTTCCTCCGCTTTCTGGGGCCCAAACAGATCAGCAGCATCCAGAGCGACTACGGAGCCGGAGTTTACTTCAACACGCTGGTGCCTGCTGAAGATCGGGTATGAGAGCCTCTTTAATACCTTTATAATAGTGGTGTAATGGATCACGTTATGGCTTTTGAGGCATTTGTCGGATCGGAAAAAAAGGATGGAGACAAATGTAATTTGCTTAGAACTTACGGCTATGCGTGCAAACAGCTTAGGAGCAGTATAAATCAGGCTTAAAGGGAAAGGAATAAAGTAATTCAGCTTATTTTAGGGCAGTAATCACAATATTGACTAACCATGATGCTTTTATGCAAGGTTATCATACTGTTAGAATCTTAAGATCTGTAGTTGATATTGTTATAATATTTAATAATATTGTGATTATTCATGATTTGCGAAGTCATACAGCTCCAGGTAACTCTAAACAATGACTGCTAGTGTCTCCTTTGACTTTTGACAACACAAACACTGATGTCTCATCAACGTTGGCCCTGCCTCTGCTTTCATTTGTTTATTGTGTTGTGCTTTTGCAGTTGATCAAGTACGGTGTGATCAGCACAGATGCTCTGATCGATGATTTACTCCACTGGAAAACGCTGTATGTTGCTGGACGATTACACAAACCTGTGAGTGTCTGAACACACTGTTGCACTTACACACACGATCCACAGGATGGCAGTCCACAAACACACAATCCTCCTCTTCTGCACTGTTTTTCTCCCTCTAACCACTGCTGACTGCTATTTACAGCTTATATTTTTATCTCATTTCTTTCCTGATAAAATATTTAAAATTAAACAATATTTATATACATGGATTAAAATAGTGTGATTGCATTCATGTGACTTTTAGAAATGCATGTGCCCTTTTGAAATAATTAAGACTACATAATACTATAGTTAGTAAGTACTTCAGTGTTTTTATTTAGTCTGTACTATAGCAAAGTGTATTATACTTTATATATATTATAGTGTTTACAACTCTTTGTTAATGAATGCTCCAGCATAAGGTAGTATTAATAATAGTGAACTGATAACCTGTAATAAATACTCTAGTAAACTTTAGTTTTTACTACAGTAAACTGTGGTGTATTGTAGTATAATATACTCTATAGTTGTACCAAACAACAGTATTGGGTCAATTACTATAATTGTTGTAATTACCATAGCAACTGTAGAATCATCACAAAAGATTGATTCGAGGATTTTACTATAGTATGGTTCAATAACACTATATTATTTACCGTTAATTACTACAGTATTTGTTTCATGTGGGTTTGAAGGTCATTTATTTAACATTAAACTTGTTTTTCGGTATAGTATAGTATAATATGGGTAGTATAGTATGGGTAGTATAGCATAGTATAGTATGGAGAGTATAGTATAGTATGGGCAGTACAGTATGGGTAGTATAGTATGGTAAGTATAGTATAATATGGGAAGTATAGTATAGCATGGGAGTATAGTAAAGGAAGTATAGTATAGTATAGGGGAGTGTAGTATAGTATAGCATGGGGGTATAGTATAGTATAGGGGAGTGTAGTATAGTATTGGGAATTATAGTAGAGTGTAGTATAGGGCAGTATAGTATTGTATGGGGGTGTAATATAGTATAGGGTGTAGAGTATAGTATAGGGCAGTATAGTATAACACAGTATAGTATGGGGGAGTGTAGTATAGTAAGGTATAGGGCAGTATTGGAGCGTGTAGTATAGTATGAGGAGTATAGTAAAGTATAGGGAATTATAGTATACAAAAGTGTAGTATATTATCGGGGAGTATAGTATAGGGGAGTACAGCATAGGGGAGTACAGCATAGGGGAGTATAAATTGTATAGGGCAGTGAACTAAAAACAGTATAGTATAGGGTAGTGCTGTATAGTATAGGGCATTATAGTATAGGACAGTGTAGTATAGGGAAGTATAAATAGTATAGGGCAGTGTAGTATAGTAGAGTATAGTATAGGGAAGTTTAGTATAGTAAAGTATAGGGCAGTATAGTATAGGGAAGTGAAGTTTAGTATAGCATAGGGCAGCATAGTATTGGGGAGTATAGTATAGTATAGCATCATATTGTAAAGTATAGGGGGGTTTAAATAGTATAGGGCAGTATAGTATAATAGAGTATAGTATAAGGAAGTATAGGGGCGTATAGTATAGCATAGTATAATATAGCATAGTATAGGGGAGTATAGTATAGTGCTATGCGTGTATAGAAGCACATGTTCTGTCTTAAATGATCTATATCTAAAAATGAGATCAAGTGATTTCCCCTTTGTACATGCAGGTGCTGGAGCTCATCACTGATTGGATGAATCTGTTGTGTTTATTGAGCAGATGTGATTTTTGGGCTGTCAGTGAATTGATTGATACTGGACACTAATAGTCCTCTGCAGTGTTCAGACTCGGGCTACAGTGTTGTTGCTGTTCCTGCAGGTTCGAATCCTGCTGCAGAGTGAGAATGGGAATCTGCGCTCGGCTCTTCTGGGGAACCTGAAGAGTGCTGTGATCGCTTCATTCCTCATGCTGCCAGAGAGCTTCTCTGAGGAAGAGCTGTACCTCCAGATAGCAGGACTCTCCTACTCTGGTCTGTGTGTGTGTGTGTGTGTGTGTGTGTGCGCGTACGTGTTTTTGTGACATATCAGGACACAAATCTATAATGACATGGGTATGACACAGGTATTACAAAAAGGAGGTGAAATAAGAAGACATTTGTGACGTCCTCATTTCTCAAAATGCTTATAAATCCTTCAGAATGAGTTTAATCAGAGAGTAGAGGCACACAGTCTCCTGTAATGGTTGGGTTTTGGGGTGGGGTGAGGGCAATACAATATACGATTTGGACAGTATAAAATGAATGGAAACCTATGTAATGTCCCCACTTGTGTGTGTGGTTAATGAACTATATGCACGGCAAGTGTGTTTAGAAAAAAATGCTTTTAAACCTGTAACCATTGATTTAACTAGCTTGTTTTACTGAAAAACTCTCTTTATTTTGGCTCATTTCTTCTGAAAACAAGACTATTTTTTTTGCTTATGTCGAAAATGCTTCTTGATTTAAGAGTTTTTTAAAATATATTTGTACTAAAACGAGACAAAACCTCCAAGTAAGAAAACATTATTGTCACAGCAGCTGAATGTACTCTGTCTTTCTGCTTTGTCACTGCAGGTGATTTCAGGATGGTGTTTGGAGAGGATAAATCCAAGGTCTCCAACATTGTAAAAGACAACATGCAGCATTTCCGTCAGTTATATAACCGTATTCTGCAGGAGTGCCCGCAGGTGGTGTACAAGCCTCAGCAGGGCCGGCTGGAGGTGAGGCTGTACACACACAGATTTAGCTCTCAGTAAGGTTGTGTCTGCTGCTCACCCCTGTGTAAAGAAAATGTATAGTGGAATAATCAGAAAGCAGTATATGGAAATGGCCAACCATGAGCATCAGACACCAATGTTTTCTCCTTGTCATGTAAATTACACAAGTGTAAAACCCCGGTGGACAAAAGGCCAATCAGATCACAAAGCAGACTGTTGCGTGACTCACAGGACACGCCCTCATCATTTGCATGTAAGTCATCTGGAGAACACAGACTGATCTGTAGCTCTGGGATCATTGATGTGAACACTTCAGGCTGTGTTTGATGAGCTTCAGCATTTCCTAATGAGACGACACTGATCATTTTGCTGCCTGAGTTATTTATAAGTTAATTGTGAGAGTTGCTGAAGAACTTCTGAGAGATTTCAGCTGCTGTCTGAGCTTTCACTGCTGAACTACACCTCCCTTTCCTCATGTGTTCAATACTTTTTCCCTGAATCATTTCATTTTATTACACAGAACTTCATTTGTAAAATAATTAGATTTCTTTTGTTTGCATATATGAAATTATTTGGTTGTTATCAACATCCGGGGAAAATTTTAATTCAACAGCACCTTTAGAAATATGTTTTCTGAGAAAAATAGTGACGTGTTCAATACGCATTTCCCCACTCTATTAACTATCTATCTGGGACTTTTATTTTGAAATAGGGAGATGCATGTTGTTATTGAGCAATGACTGCATGAGACATGTTTAAACTCTCGTCAGGACACAAAATGCAGGATATACAGATTAAACAGTTATTCAGCTTCACCCCGAAAGGAAAAATATATTTTATTTCAGCATGTTCACATGAACACCAATACTCTGATTTTAATACGATTAAGACAATACTCGACCATCTATCGTTCTATATTTTTATCTATTTTTCTGCCGTTATTTCTATCTATCATTCCATCCATCCATCCATCATTCTATCCATCCATCGTTCTATCTATCTATCTATCTATCTATCTATCTATCTATCTATCTATCTATCTATCTATCTATCTATCTATCTATCTATCTATCTATCTATCTATCTATCTATCTATCTATCGTTCTATCTATCGTTCTGCCGTTCTTTATATCTATCATTCTATCTATCTATCTATCTATCTATCTATCTATCTATCTATCTATCTATCTATCTATCTATCTATCTATCTATCTATCTATCTATCTATCTATCTATCTATCTATCGTTCTATCGTTCTATCGTTCTATCTATCGTTCTGCTGTTCTTTATATCTATCATTCTATCCATCCATCGTTCTATCTATCTATCTATCTATCTATCTATCTATCTATCTATCTATCTATCTATCTATCTATCTATCTATCTATCTATCTATCTATCTATCTATCGTTCTATCTATCGTTCTGCCGTTCTTTATATCTATCATTCTATCCATCCAGCCATCGTTCTATCTATCTATCTATCTATCTATCTATCTATCTATCTATCTATCTATCTATCTATCTATCTATCTATCTATCTATCTATCTATCTATCTATCTATCTATCTATCTATCTATCTATCTATCTATCTATCTATCTATCTATCGTTCTATCGTTCTATCTATCGTTCTGCTGTTCTTTATATCTATCATTCTATCCATCCATCGTTCTATCTATCTATCTATCTATCTATCTATCTATCTATCTATCTATCTATCTATCTATCTATCTATCTATCTATCTATCTATCTATCTATCTATCTATCTATCTATCTATCTATCTATCTATCGTTCTATCGTTCTATCTATCGTTCTGCTGTTCTTTATATCTATCATTCTATCTATCATTCTATCTATCTATCTATCTATCTATCTATCTATCTATCTATCTATCTATCTATCTATCTATCTATCTATCTATCTATCTATCTATCTATCTATCTATCGTTCTATCTATCGTTCTGCCGTTCTTTATATCTATCATTCTATCCATCCAGCCATCGTTCTATCTATCTATCTATCTATCTATCTATCTATCTATCTATCTATCTATCTATCTATCTATCTATCTATCTATCTATCTATCTATCTATCTATCTATCTATCTATCTATCTATCTATCGTTCTATCTATCGTTCTGCTGTTCTTTATATCTATCATTCTATCCATCCATCGTTCTATCTATCTATCTATCTATCTATCTATCTATCTATCTATCTATCTATCTATCTATCTATCTATCTATCTATCTATCTATCTATCTATCTATCTATCTATCTATCTATCTATCTATCTATCTATCTATCTATCGTTCTGCCGTTCTTTATATCTATCATTCCATCCATCTATCCATCCAATCGATCTGTCTGTCCGTCCGTCCGTCCGTCTATATCTATCTATCTTGCTGTGATGAGGAGGAGGAAATAAGGAGAGCCAGTGGAAAGGCAAAGGAGAGAGAGGTCATCATTTGGTGCAGGCATCATTCTTATCTGTCTATACTGAAGCCATATATTGTGCAGCCCTAGTTAATGCTTTTCAGTGGACGGTCAAATGGATTATGTGGTGCAAACAAAAGAAAATCATCAAGTGAATATATCAGAAGTCACAAATCTCTCAGACGCCAATAAGATGCGTTTCTCAAGAACAGAGATAATCCTGAGAACAAAAGAGAGGAGAGAAACTCCTCCGCCTGCAGGTGTGATCTGTGCACTAAACACCGCCTGTGTACAGGGGAGAAAGTGACAGACTGTCAAACACACGTCCATCAGCAGCCAATGATCTCCTCAGTCCTGCAGTTTATCAGCAGCAGCAACAAGAACTGCACTAAAAAAAGCTTTTCTTAGAGTTTTTGTCTTGTTTTTAGTCTAAATATCTACAAAATCGTAAATCAAGAAGCGTTTTCTAGACGGGTGCAAACGACTGTCTTGCTTTCAGTAATAATGAGTCAAAATTAAATGAGAATTTCTTTAAATCAAGCAAATTAATCTGCTTGTATTGTTAGTTTTTTTTTATGCCAAATCTGGGTTAATTCCATGTGAACAGCTCCTTTAGAAATGTGGTGACGTGTTCAATACTGATTTCGCCCGCTGTATGCAGTACACTACACTTTACTATAGTGTTTTTCTTGATGTGGGAGATTTCCAATAGATGTGTTTCCCTGTTGATCAGGTGGACAAAAGCCCCGAGGGTCAGTTCACGCAGCTGATGGCTCTCCCGCGCACGCTTCAGCAGCAGATCACACGCTTGGTGGATCGGCCGGGGAAAAACCGAGACGTGGAGGAGATTCTGCTGCAGGTGGCGCAAGATCCAGACTGCGGATCCGTCGTACAGCAGGGTGAGTTCTGCTTTATATACAGCACTCAGCGTAAATGAACACACACCCTTTAGTGAAATAAAAAGTTTTTATCCATTTCTAAGTGAATAGAAATGTTAAAAAATGCAGGTTAACTGTGTTTATATATAATGTCTGCTCTATAAACAACTCCTTGAAGTGCTTCTAGATAGAGATCTGCGCGGGACTAAATTTTGAATCCCGCTCCCGCCCGCACCCGCCAGGTTTTAGCCCGAACCCGACCGCTCCCGCTTATATTGAGCATTTGTTGTCCCGCTGCCCGCCCCGCCCCGTTTTCTACCTGCCGCACCCGATCCTGCTAAAGAGCGGGGGGGAGAACAAAACCGAAAATCACCCAGCTATACAGTCCAGACCATTGGTCCAGACAGCCTATAACAAGCTGTCTGTATAAACACACACACAGCACTAAGCACACACACACAAAGCTCTCTCTCTCATTTGCGCGCACTAACACACACACATAAGCACCAAGCACACACACAGGAAAAGCTCTCTCTCTCTCTCTCTCTCATTCGCGCACACGCGCACTAACACACACACACACACACACACACACAGCAGCAAACAAGCTAAACACAGCATCGCGCTATTTCATTTACACACATACATACGCGTGCTAGCTTGGGAGTCGGGAGCGATATTGCTAGACAGCCCGCTCCCGTCCCAAATTAAACCCGTTACCGACCGCTCCCGCGATTTATTCGGAAATTTATTCCCGCGCCGCAGAATGCAGACCTCTACTTTGAGATGTGCACTTTTTATTGGATGTTTGACGTAATCTCAACTGAAAAATGAAGTGAGGGTGGGACATAAGGTAGCCACTCCCCTTTTTAAAGCAGCCAATAGTGTTTTGTTTTTATCATCGCTTTGCCAGTGAGAGTGGTTGAGCTTAAGCGCATCAAATGTGACGCATCTTAAAGGGGGCGGGGCATATCAAACACTAGAGAGCATTTGATTGGTCAGAAGATTCATTTCACTGGACCTTTACCTTTGCTGATTTGGATTGTGATGCAGTAATGTGCAGCTTCTGTTAAACTGAGCTGAAACAATAGCGCTGTACAAGTAAACATACATTGAATTGAGACTGTGCTGGAGTTAAGTGCGTGAAATAAAGCATGCTGTGTGCTGAATGAAGGAGTGTGTGTGTGTGTGTTTGTGTGGACTGGTCAAACAGGCTGGCTGAGTGTTGAGCGGTGTTGAGTTTCTCCATCAGCCTCACCCTCATGGCTCATTGTCGTAATAACCGCCACTGCGTTTCACACAAACACCTGTGTGTGTGTGTGTGTGTGTGTGAATGTGTTAATGCGAGTGTGTGGTGTGCCATTGTTTGAATATGTGTCTGTGTGTGTGTGTTTATGTCCTGCACTTCACCTTTATCCAGCAGTAATATCTCACTTTCAGCATTAGAGTGATGTTGATGTTTGCATTTATTTCACTGTGACTGCAGGAAAGAGCTTATAAATGTAATGTACGCCTGCAAATGAATCACTTTTCTCTCTCACTAATAAAACAGATTTCTGATATGCTGGACACTGTTCACAATGCATTGCATAATTTAGTCAGCACTCTGCAAAAAATGCTTTACTACTGAGATTTTTTGTCCTGCTTTTAATCAAAGTATCTAAAAATTTGTAAATTAGGAAGCATTTTCCAGACGAGCTAAACATATAGTGTTGTTTTCAGATATAATGAGTCAAAATGAAGTGAGTTTATCATTAAAACAAGCAAAATAATCTGCCATTAGGGGAAGCAGAGTAATCTTATGTCAAAAGGAGAAGCTAGATTATTCTGCTGACCCCATTGGCAGATTATTTTGCTTGTTTTAATGATAAACTCACTTCATTTTGACTCATTTCTGAATTAATGATTTGTTGACTGAATTGTCTCTGTTATCATTTGTAATTGTGCAGGGATTTCTTCAATTGTGAAATCCTCCAGCATCACTCAGAGTGCCAAAGGAATCGCCACCGCAGGTGAGAGAGAGAGAGAGATTTCACCCGGAGGAAACCCACGCCAACACGGGAGAACATGCAAACTCCTCACAGAAACACCAACTGACCCAGCCAGGACTCGAACCAGCGACCTTCTTGCTGTAAGGCGATCGTGCTACCCACTGCGCCACTGTGACGCCCATGCTAAAACCTAGTAACAAATCATAAATATATATGTGGTAAACTGAGATTTTTAATGTCATCAAATTATGCTTATGGGGCGGCACGA